TCCTCACTATTGAAAAGGGGTCCTTTGTTTGTTTTCCCTGCGGTATTTCTGTTTGAAATATTGGTTTTTCTTATTTTTGACTAACTTTTTTCCCCTACTTGGTCTGCCCCCTATGGGGTCTTTTTATGTTTTCCTTCTGCATATAATTCCGCTACCTGGACAAAATCTCCATTTTCCCCCATTACTGTCCCCCGGACAGACCCCCCACTTCACCATTACTGTCCCCCAGGACAGCATATCAGCCCCACATTTACGGGACTCCCAGGACTTCATCTCCAGCCTTACAGTTTCTGACTACATGGCCAGTATCAAGGCAGTACCATTCCCCCCAGACTTTTTATTTTCCCCATCTGTTGTAGAAAGCTTCCAGGTTTTCTATGAAAGCAGCTTTGATGTTATCCCTTTTAATACCCTTGTGATTTTAGTCCACAGATTTATCTCATTTGGGCATCCCCAAAAACCTTCCCTGTTTTAACACTGCTTGTAGCAGTTTTGGATATCTGCACAAGGGGCGTGACACCAATTTCCACAAAAATGACAATTTATCCATGTGGAAGCCTGTTTGTTTGACTGACCGCAGACTACACACAGCTTCATAATGATTTGAATGGTTGATTTACTGCAATTCTATAGAAACCCTCTTGAATATTTATTAATAACCTCCTTAAATGAAGCTCTAGCTATTTGTTTTTCTGTTTTAACTGTTTTTGTATTTTGGGGACAGCTTACCGTCACGTTCCTGTTTTATATTTAATGTTTGTTTTTATAAGGGCGCCTACAACCCCTTTCCTTTTTACAGTCTGCTTTATTTTTCCAACGAAACCGTTTGAAACCAGTCAAGGGTTCGGACTAATCAAGGGTTCGGACCAGTCAATCTGATCTGATCAGTGGGTCACTTATTTAAAAATTATGGTCGGTGATTTGAGCTAACACATGAAGGATCTACTGGAAGTTATCTACCGAGTAATATGTGATTTGATTGATACAAAAGTATAACTTGCGTGTTGAAGAAACCGGTGACTCCCTGGCAACTCCTACAATGACGAACGGTCGACCTCAACCCTTGTTTATCAATCGCTGTATCTAGCTTTTCTATTTTTTTCCGTCTCCACCCACAATAAATGCTATATTATCACTATAGTTGACTGGTGGAAATTTTGGAGGAAGGACGCTTTTTTGTAGTAATAATTGCTTCTCGTTGTGTATTTTTGCGAGCGCTGGTAACTACAGGTTTATGAAATTCACAGTATACGTCGGGTTTATTTCAAGAAAAAGAAACTAATGAAAGTCACTCCACTCCACTAAGTACCATTATAATACTGGTTAGTTGCTACTACAACACTGTATTCTGCTATACACTGGTATCACTAGATTATATGCGAGTACACTAGCAAGCCAGGAAGATTATTAAAACAGCTGACCTGTGGTAAGTTTCTGGCGACTTCTGGCACCTGCCTCTATAGGCTTATCACTTCATTTACAAATTCACCTGTTTTCAAATGACACTTTAGCCTTTATCATCAATATACTAGGGAGCCACTGTAGTATACACTATACACTATGTATACTCAATGTTATCAGGGAGACTTTCTTTCCTCTGAGATAAGTGAACTATAGATATGTAGATATAAATCCATATGTATTCCTGTTAACCCTTTGGGGCCTAGTTCCTAGGCCTTTTGTGTATCCATATGCTCTCGCGCTACCGTCCACAGGATGGATATGGGGTGCACAATGAACTAGCCACTTCAGTGGCAAAATCTAAAAAATCTAATTGGAAAAGAATGGAGGGTGTTGAAACATGTCGCAGTAGTTGGGTAGTGAGATGATTAGTTGTTGTGAGTATATTATCAATTTGTCTGGATACAAGGAGATGGGTATGGAGAGGATTTTATTAGAATTTTAGTAATATAGGGACAAATGTGTATTACATTTTAAGATTCAATAAAAAGAAGGGGAAAAATTTGTATCGAAAGAGGAAAAATTGTGAATAAATTGATAAGTGATGAGGGTTGTGGGTATTGTTGTCGAACTAGAGATACCAAAAAAGATGTTATAAGTGGGTTGTTGTGGGTTGAGTGTTGTGAGCTGTGGGTGTTGTTGACGAACTAGAGATGATGAAAAGTGGTTATAAGTTGTGGGTTGTTGTTGTGGGTGTTGTGGGGTGTGGGTGATGTGGGTTGTGGGGGTTGTGGGATGTGGGTGTTGTGGGTGTGGGTGTTGTTGTCGAACTAGAGATACCGAAAAGAGGTTATAAGTGGGTTGTGGGTGTTGTGGGTTGTGGGTATTGTTGTCGAACTAGAGATACCAAAAAAGTGTTTAAGCGGGTTTTTGTTGTGGGTGTGTGGGTTGTGAGTCTTGTGGGTTGTGGGTGTTGAGGGTTGTGGGTGTTGTGGGTTTTTGGGTGTTGTTGTCGAACTAGAGATACCAAAAAAGATGTTATAAGTGGGTTGTTGTTGTGGGTGTTTTTGGGTTGTGGGGTGTTGTGGGTTGTGGTGTTGTGGGTTGTGGGTGTTGTTGTCGAACTAGAGATGCTGAAAAGTGGTTATAAGTTGTGGGTTGTGAGCGTTGTCGAACTAGAGATACCGAAAAAGAGATGATTCTGTTGTGTGTTCGTGTGTGTTTTGTTTGTGTTCATGTTTTTTTTTGCGCTCATGTTATATCTTAGTTGGAGGAGAGTGTACTCATAGAAATTGGTAATCGTCTTGGTTATAGTGATTTGAGAGGATTTGTGTGAAAATGGGTGTTAGTCTGTGATGTTGATCTTGTTTATGGTGATTTTGGTGGTGTTTGGGCGTATTCGGGTGCTGTTTTGGTAGTATTCAGTGGTGTATTTGGGAGTACTCAAATGGTGTTTGAGACTATTCAAAGGAGTTGTTGAAGGTGTTCAAATGATGTGCAAGAGTATTTATGAAGGTGTTCTGGGAGTATTCAGTGGTGATTTGGCTTGGTTCGAATGATGTTTTTGGAGTATTCAAAGGTAAGTGTTTGGTTTGTTTTTGGTGTTGTTCAAAGTAAAGTGTCTGAGTTAGTTTTTGTGTTTACTGTTGAAAAAAATCTGGAGAATGAGGGAGGAGTTTTGGGGGATGAGTTGTAATTTAATAAAATATATAAGTGTAGATAAATTAGAGCTGTCAAATCTTATTTGGGAGTATTCAAAAAGTTATCTTGGAAGTGTTTCAGTGTTGTTTGGAAATGTTCAAAAGGGATTTTTGTGGAGTATTCAATGATTTATGGGGAGTGTTTTGAAGGTGTTCAAAGTAAAGTGATGTGTTGTGTGTGTGTGTGTGTGTGTGTGTGTGTGTGTGTGTTGTTGTGTGATGCGTATTAACTTCGTAAAAATGTAAAATTGTGACTAGTGAATTTATCGAAAAGTGGTTATAAGTTGTAAGTGTTGTGGTGACTTTTTCTGATGAAATAGTTAAAACGAGAAAAATGTCTAGACTTGAGGAGAGTGAATCTTTTGTAAAGAAATTGTGGATTGTTGTGGGTATTAACGAAAAAAATGTGAAATTATTTGGGTTATCCTGGGTTAAGATTGAAAATGTGTAATGTTTTCCTTATGTTGTATATGAAATGTGTAATACTGAGATGGTGACGACGAAGAAGATCCAGAACAAAACGCATAGAATTTCTTCAAGAGAAAAATATGTTGATTTTAGTCAATAAATTGTACCTTTTTTCAATGAATTTTTTTGTTGGATGTATATGAAATGCATTGGTTGTATAATAAATAAATGAAAATATTGTGTATTAGTCTTATCCTGCATTTTATTGTCTGCTCGACAAGATTCAGCCTGTATGTGTGAGGTCGTCGCGTGACGTCACTGACCGCCGAGTAAACACAGGTGGGGTGACGTCACACTTGAAAAACTTGATCCAAGGAGATGGAGGAGAAATACTTGGGGTGGAAGTGGGAGTCCATTTTGAATGCTTACCCCCAGAGGGGGGAATTCAAAAAACTTGATCCGAGGAGATGGAGTCTTTGTATTATTGATATCGAGAAAAACTTGATCTGAAGAGATGGAGATCATAAGAAATTCAAAAAAAAAATTCGAAAAAAATTGGGATGGGGTTGAAAGTGGGAGGGGGAACCTCAAAAACTTGATCCTAGGAGATGGAGACCAAAAGAAAATGAAATTAAAAAAAAATTCGAAAAAAATCGGGAAAAAATTCGGGGAGCGGGGGCGATCCGGACGACGCTGCAGAAGGCGCTGCAGAAGGCGCTGCAGAAGGCACGGGCGGGCACGAGGGCGTGGGCGGGCGTGCACGAGGGCATGGCAGGTGGGCGCATGGGCGGTGGGCCGGCGCGAGGGCGGGGCATGTGGGGGGCGTGGGTCGGGGGTTGAGGGTGTGGTGGGGGGTTGAAGGCGAGGTGGTCAAGGGCGAGGTGGTCGAGGGTGAGGTCAAGGTGGTCGAGGGCGGGCGCGCGGGCGCAGAACACCGCTCAGCCGCAGGCCTTTCGGAAGGAGACCGCTCAGGAATACAGCGCTCAGCGGCAGAGACCGCTGAGCCACCTTCGGCACTACTTATATATATATATATATATATATATATATATAATATATATATATACCTGGAGTTTACCTGGAGAGAGTACCGGGGGTCAACGCCCCCGCAGCCCGGTCTGTGACCAGGCCTCCTGGTGGATCAGAGCCTGATCAACCAGGCTGTTGCTGCTGGCTGCACGCAATCCAACGTATGAGCCACAGCCCGGCTGGTCAGGTACCTGCTTTAGGTGCTTGTCCAGTGCCAGCTTGAAGACTGCCAGTGGTCTATTGGTAATCCCCCTTATGTATGCTGGGAGGCAGTTGAACAGTCTCGGGCCCCTGACACTTATTCCTAGAGGGACTAGTACCGAACTTGCACACGAAAATCACTCACTACGAAAGCAAAAGACTTGGCAGACGATGCAACATCCCCCAATGAAAAGCAGGGGTGTCACTAGCACGTTAAGAGACAATACAATAAGTGTCAGGGGCCCGAGACTGTTCAACTGCCTCTCAGCATACATAAGTTGGATTACCAATCGACCCCTGTCAGTCTTCAAGCTGGCACTGGACAAGCACCTAAAATCGGTACCTGACCAGCCGGGCTGTGGCTCGTACGTTGAATTGCGTACAGCCAGCAGTAACAGTCTGGTTGATCAGGCTCTGATCCACCAGGAGGCCTCATCACAAACCAGGCCGCGGGGGCGTTGACCCCCGGAACTCTCTCCAGGTAAACTCCAGGTATGAAAGTATAGTAGTACCAACACTCTTATATGGGTGTGAAGCTTGGGTTGTAAATGCAGCAGCGAGGAGGCGGTTGGAGGCAGTGGAGATGTCCTGTCTAAAAGCAATGTGTGGTGTAAATATTATGCAGAAAATTTGGAGTGTGGAAATTAGGAGAAGGTGTGGAGTTAATAAAAGTATTTGTCAGAGGGCTGAAGAGGGGTTGTTGAGGTGGTTTGGTCATTTAGAGAGAATGGATCAAAGTAGAATGACATGGAGAGCGAATAAATCTGTAGGAGAAGGAAGGCGGGGTAGGGGTCGTCCTCGAAAAGGTTGGAGGGGGGGGGGTAAAGGAGGTGTTGTGGGCGAGGGGTTTGGACTTCCAGCAAGCGTGCGTGAGCGTGTTAGATAGGAGTGAATGGAGACAAATGGTAATTGGGACCTGACGAACTGTTGGAGTGTGAGCAGGGTAATATTTAGTGAAGGGATTCAGGGAAACCGGTTATTTTATATAGCCGGACTTGAGTCCTGGAAATGGGAAGTACAATTCCTACACTCTAAAGGAGGGGTTTGAGATACTGGCAGTTTGGAGGGATATATTGTGTATTTTTATACGTATATACCTCTAAGCTGTTGTATTCTGAGCACCTCTGCAAAAACAATGATTATGTGTGAGTGAGGTGAAAGTGTTGGATGATGAAAGTATTTTGCTTTTGGGGATTTTCTTTCTCTTTGAGTCACCCTGTCTCAGTGGGAGATGGCCGACTTGTTGAATATATATATATATATATATATATATATATATATATATATATATATATATATATATATATATATATATATTTTATATATATATATATAGAGAGAGAGAGAGAGAGAGAGAGAGAGAGAGAGAGAGAGAGAGAGAGAGAGTACGCTGCAGTCAGTGGTCATGTGAGGTCATCCTGCCCTAAGCTGTCTGGGAATTAGCGTGGGGTGTTATCAAGCACTATGGCTTGCTGTAGTGTTTTAGAATCTCAGGTTCAAGTGTTGATGGAGGTTCTTCTTTTTCAGGAGGAAAATAGGAGGCTGAAACTTCACCTAGATGGATTTGGGAGTGTGAGATGGTTGGAGCTTTTAATGTGATCACGAGGGCCATGGCTAAAGATCCCAAAAATGTTGTAGACCCAGAGGTTTCAGAAGAAGCGGGAGATTTAGGTATGAACTTCCTATTTAATGAAGTAGTTCAAGCAGGAACCACAGATATGAATAAAAATGTTCTACCGGTCCGTACGGACCTAGTTAAAAAACGTAGTAAGGAGGAATTTATTAAAGCTCTGAAAGACGATATAGATCTAATAAGTAATGATAAGTGAACATTTCTTTTATAAAGGATGAAGAAGGATTTCTCTGGAAAAGAGGAAATGATAAGAATTCTACTTAAGGAAGAAATTTGTAAGTTGTCTCTTCGTCTTTGCACAGTTTAGTATTTGAAGTAGCGCACAATAACCCTCTAGGAGGACATTTAGGAATTCGTAAGATCGAAAAGATGATTCAGAAATATTTTTATTGGCCCCATTTCAAGTACAGAAATGCTATGTTTGTCAAATAATAGGCAAAACAGCCCACAATCCGGCTACAGCCCCTCTAGTTCCCATAAAGTCCAAAGCAGCCTTTTGGTAGATTAGTTATAGAATGTGTGGGACCTTTTCCCCACAGTAAGAGGAGAAATCAGTATATCTTTACTATTATGGATATGGCCACTCAGTATCCAGAGGCCATTCCAATGTCAAAAATTCACGCTTCTTTGCACACATAGGCATACCGCATGAGATTCAATCAGATCAAGGCTCAAATTTTACATCGAAGGTTTTTAAAGAGGCCATGTCACGATTAGGAGTAAGACAGATCCTGTCTACACCCTATCATCCCCAATTGCAAGGCGTATTAAAAAGATTCCACCAAACCCTTAAATCCACACTGCTCGCTTATTGCAAACAATATTCGCGAGAATAAGATGGTTTACCCTTCCTTCTCTTTGGCTAAGGGAAGCTGAACAAGATAGTACTAAATACTTGATTTTCGGCCACCAAGTACGGGGACCTCTAGCTATATTACGAGATTCATGGACAGGTAAGAGAGCCTTTCCCAATTGAAAAACTTGGCTGCGGTGAACCTGACCCAAGCTCAAGCTAAAATGAAAAAGTTGTATGGCCAGAAGTCAAAACAGTGTTCCTTCCATCCAAATGAACTAGTTTTAGTAAAAAACAAACTTAGTTCCTGGACATTCTTTAAATCCTCGTTATTTGGGGCCTTATGAGATAGTATGTAAGGAAAACGAAGTGAATTATCTGGTGAGCTAACCAGGATGTCGTAAGAAAGTTGAGTTATTACATAAATAATTTAAAAAGGTACGAGGTAAACCCTCTTCCTACTACTATCACCACTATTCAACCTCCAGTCACTGAGCTTATAAATAATACAGCAGGAGATTTGAGAGAATTTATACTCAATAATTCAGAAATTCTGAAACAATTAGATAATTTTCTAGAAGTTCTTCCCACAGATCATAAATCACAAATAAAAGATTTGATCTTTAAATACAAGACTATATTCAGTGATGTTCCTAAACCTTGTACTTTAGGTTCTCATGATATTGAACTATTAGAAGATCTGATAAAGCAATCTCTCCTGCTAAACAAAAATTGATTCAACAAGAAATAGCCACCTTATTGGAATACAATTTGATAGAACCTAGTTGGATGCCTTGGGCCTCTCCCTGCTTATTAGTCCCCAAGCCAGATGGTACAGTTCAGTTATGTACAGATTATCGTAAGGTTAATGCTATCACCAAGCCCAATGATTTCCCGTTACCCCGAACTGACGACCTTATTGATGCAGGGGCCGGGGCCACGTTTGTGACAAGGTTGGACCTTTTAAGAGGTTATTACCAGGTTCCATTAACCCCTTGGGCCAAAGAGATTTCAGGCTTTGTTAAAAATGGATTATTTACAAATAAAGTTATGCCTTTCGGCTTATGTAATGCCGCTTCAATGTTCCAAAGAATTATGAACATTCTAGTCCAACCTTTAGAAGGTGTGGAAGCATACTTGGATGACCTTGTGGTTTTTAGTGATGATTGGAAATCTCATGTGGAAAGATTGGAAGAACTCTGAAAGCCTTACAAAAGTATAATTTCACTTTAAATTTGCAAAAAATGTGACTTTGGAAAGGCACAAATTAAATATCTTGGTTTTAAAATAGGGCAAGGACATGTGGCCTCTGACAAATTAAAAGTCAAAGCCATTTTAAATTTTCCACATCCCCAAGATAGAAAAGCCCTCCAAAGATTTTTAGGGATGGCTACTTATTACCGAAGATTTTGCCCAAACTTTGCACAAGTGGCCTCTCCTCTCACTAAACTAACAAGTCCTAAACATAATTCAACTGGGACGAGAGCTGTAACTTAGCCTTTAAATGCTTAAAACGCTTTCTATCCTCAGCTCCAGTATGACGATGTCCAGATTTCAACTTTCCTTTCACTCTACACGTGGATGCCAGCGACTCTGTTATCGGTGCTGTGTTACTACAACCTTTACAACAAGGGGATATCATACATCCAGTATGTTATTATTCATATAAATTAAAAGAATACCAAAAATCGTATTCCACTGTAGAAAAAGCCCTAGCAGTAGTCTTTTTATAGGAGCATTTTGACGTATATCTTGGCTATTCTCATGTGGTAAATATTCACTCTGATCATGATCCACTTACATTTATAAATTCGATGAAATCTAAGAATGCTAGAATATTAAGGTGGGCTTTAAGGATCCACCCCTACCGGATTTCTATTTTTCGCATAAAAGGATCTAATAGTGTGTTAGCCGGCGCTTTGTCTCGTTCCTAATGGCTTGATTAACCGCAAAATTTCTTGACAGTAATAGAAGTATGTCTGATCCTGATCTAGGAAGTGGATTGCTGCGGCACTTGGAGAAGATAGATCTCCGTCACTTGAGTCGTTCCTCAGCGGACATGATATTCATTCCACGCTCGTAACGACCAAAACGTCAAGATATTATCTTGTGGACCGGAGTGTTGTGCCTCTTCTACTTTGCTCCTATTGTTAACCTTTATTTTCTTTAATATTACATTGCGTTCATTTCCTTTAATAGCTAAATTGGAAATGAATGTCCTTGTATTGTTAAGATTATTTGTTTGTATATTTATATTTATGTGGCCACAATGGGTTAACTTCTAGTGTATTGTCACTTTGTTATTGGTCTGCGTACCTGTGAAAGGTAAAGATGTGGAGTTAAATTTCCAATAAACTGTTCAATTGTTATACACCCCTCACTCCCCCCCCCTCCACCTGTGTAAATGTGATGGTAGAAGTCACGTGACCTACCTAACCTTCACCCTCGCTGTAGAGTGGAAGAGTGTGAAATACCAGCCAACGAGTCAACACTCCTGTTCTGCTCTTATACACTAACTGCTGTTGGTTTTCTTCAATTTATATATTCTATTAAATTGTATAATACACTGACTAATCTAGTATGAAGACTAGATATTCTACTCTGAAGGAGTATCTGTATATAACTCCGATTTAAGGTCTCTCTATAACCATGCATTTCAAGGCATTATCTAGCAATTTGGTAATGTAGAATGTGCAGTAAGCGTTCTTGACAAAGATACTGTATAATAGTATAAATTTTACTTGCCTTACATTTTATGATCTAATTAACTGCTTAATTAAAAGAAGTTTTATTGAAGACTATTATTATCCCTAACGCTGCCTATAGTTGTTATGCTCTAATCAGAAAGAAAGTATATGATAAAGGCCTTATATAGACCCGGGAGCGTAACAGCAGGTGGTAGTGAGCGGCAGGGGTAGCCTGACCTCACTTCAGTATTCCACGCCCCTCAACACACCCTTGAGCATGAGCCTCTTGCCCACCATAGAGTCGCCTTCTTTGGGCGCCGCCTCGGCATTATCTTTTTGTTTTTCTACATCTATCACCTCCTTGACAATGTTCCTCTTGAAGGCAGATTCCACTACATTCTCACTCTGTACACACCTCCCGATGGCTGCAAAAGAAATTTATAAAATAAATATTATGTCGTGATAGAATTAAAAAAAAAATTATTTGATGAAAATTGACAACTGGAAGAGCAGCGGAGTCAGAGAGGATGCTTTTACCGTTAAAAAGGTACTCATCACAAATGTTGGAGCCAGTGTCGGCAGCGGAACCCCTGGGATGGAACAGATAGGGGCACTCACGGGCATCCTTTAGACAAGTCAGTCCGTACCCACACTTGCCGTAGGCGTTCCAGGGTCCTCCGCATTCTTCGTTCACTCCCTGTAAACCCGATTACGTATATAGTCAACGTCAAGGTACATCTATCCCACAAATTGCAAATGGAAGCATTATCAAATTCATTATCAAGTGTAAAGTAAAAGGACACAAGCGCAACTAATGTGACATTTTATTGTGGCAACGTTTCGCTCTCCAGGAGCTTTATCAAGCCATTACAAACAATACATGGACACAGAGGGTATATATATTCTTAGAGTGAGGTGTAATACTAGTGGTAGTAGTAGTAATATAAGTTGTAATGTAATAGTAATACAATATGGTAGAACAATCAACTTGCACATGAGTAAAAGGTCAAAAAAAAATAAATACTTGGGTAGCATAAAAATAGGTTAGACAAATATTTTTGTTGGTGATAAATTAGACACATGTGCAACACTTAGGTATCTTTATTGAGGAAACGTTTCGCCACACAATGGCTTCATCAGTCCATACTAAGGAGAATCGTGAAGAACAGGAGGAGAATGAGGTAATCAGTCCCTCAACCTTGAGTCGATGTGGTCAGTCCATCAATCTGTTCAAGATTGATGGACTGACCACAGTTCGAGATAATCAGTCCCTCAACCTGATTTGAGGGACTGATTATCTCGAACTCCTCCTCTCCTTACCCATTTCTACTTTGTATAGGACTGATGAAGCCACTGTGTGGCGAAACGTTTCTTCAATAAAGATTCCCATGTGTTCCATAAGTGTCTCAATTCTTCAACTTGTCGGTTTTCAAAAGATTCATATTAAATAGGACAATCTGAAAAAGGGAGGGAAGGGAAGTGCTTAGTTCAAACCTGACTACCTTTCATTGCTCAGATGCTACATAACCCATATGAGTTTAGCGTTTCCCCGTGACTGCAATAATAACCCTCCTAGACCAGCTATACCGCTCTTAATACACATGCTATATACATCTTCCTGGGATATCCAGCACCTCCAAAACTAGGCTCTGCATCCATCAGCTGTTATAACCTATTCAACAAAAGTAATCCTGTTCAATCCATAGCATGCACCGGGTGCAATAACCAAACGGTGCATGCCACAGAAAGTAGTTCCAGCTAATTCAGCCCTCTGTATTTAACGTACTCTAAACAGAGCCATTTTCCGACATATCATGTTTGCCAGGCTAGTTATTGCTTGTCAGGATGAATCCGCCATCCTGGTACGGGGTGCTAACGAGGTGCTGCAGGCTGTCTGACGTTTCAGAGAGGGTTGACAATCTGAGTGGCCACTTATATGAACAACCCAGCTCATCAAACCCTCTTCTGCCTATGGCTGACTAACACTATAGCTGTAGTAGCTAATGTTCTGATACTTTGTTCCAAACTCTGTTCACTATTAGGTTAAATTTGTCCTAAACTCTATGCATAGTTGTAAATATTTTGTACATATATTCTTGGTGATAAGGGTATATGTGAAACCAAAACTTATTCTACTATGTATACTTTACTCCTCAATGATTGCTCCTTGAGTGCATTTAACGCTGGTACTGCAAGTCATTTGACAGTGCCTTTGTTCGTGATAGTCTACAGGAGATCTACCCAACTCACTCAATATTTGCACGACCTACGATTATCTAATATATATATATATATATATATATATTATATATATATATATATATATATATATATATATATATAATATATATATATATATATATATATATATATATAAAAGAGTGAGTTATCAAACCCTTTGGCGCAGACTTCACAGCAGTTGCAGACATCCCAGGTGATGCCTCTGTGACACTCTCCTATAGCTTGGCACCGGTTGGGATAACACGGTCCACACTGCAGTGCATCAGGTCTGGAAAAAAACATTCCTATAATTACTCTTAAATGGTATAAAATACTGTATAACTAATACGAGTTTGGCGCATTTTATAGTAATTAATTCCAGCTGCGTTCCCAACTGTGTTCTCTACACATATGCTGCTATGTATGATAATTTATGTAACTGCATTTGTGTATACCTGACATGCTAGAACAAGTATACACTGCACTAGAGAATAAAGAAGTCCCACTGGGAATCTTCATTGAGTTACGTAAAGCTTTTGATACAGATGACCACGACTTGTTCCACATAAAATTGTCGCACTATGGTATAAGAGGGCAGTCCCTCAACTACCTGAAGTCAGAAGCCAATATGTGTACATAAATGGAGCAAACTCCCGCACAGCCAATTACAGTTGGTGTCCCACAGGGAAGTGTCCTTGTCCCTCTTCTCTTTCTCGTTTACATAAATGACCTACCAAATGCATCGTAACTACTCAAACCCACACTATTTGCAGATGACACTACATACGTCTTCTCTCACCCGAGCCCAGTCATGCTAGCCAATACTGTGAATACCGAATTACAGAAAATATCTACCTGGATGAGGACTAACAAACTTACTCTCAACATTGACAAAACCTACTTCATTCAGTTTGGTAACAGAGTTACAGATGTCCCTCTTAACATAATGATAAACGGATCACCTATCACAACGCTCACAGAGGGAAAATTCTTAGGAATCCACCTTGATAATAGACTCAAATTTCAAACACATATACAACAAATTTCCAAGAAAATTTCCAAGACCGTAGGCATATTATCGAAGATACGGTACTGTGTTCCACAGTCAGCCCTCCTGGCCCTGTATCACTCGCTTATTTACCCCTACCTCACCTATGGAATCTGTGCATGGGGCTCAACAACAATAAACCATCTCAGACCATTAATTACCCAACAAAAGGCTGCAGTCAGAATGATAAATTCCCACTACAGGCAACACACTCCACCAATATTCAAAACTCTAAACCTACTCACCATACAAAACATCCATACTTATTATTGTACCTACTACATACATAGAACACTTAACTCGGATATAAACCCTCCCCTTAAACGTCTCCTTACCAACCTCAACAGAACACATGACCATAACACAAGGCACAGATCGCTATTTGATGTTCCTCGTGTCCATCTCACACTATGCAAACACTCAATGCACATAAAAAACCCAAAAATCTGGAATTCACTACCTGTGAATATAAAAGAAACACTGTTTATAAATTCAAGTCTCTTCTTAAAAATCACTTACTCACCCACAACCAAATAAATACTGAATAATTGTATCTCATAAATATTTAACCTGTGACCCAATCAAACTTTGTTATTTTTAATTACATTACTTAACAGAATACTCCATTCTACTGAATGCTCAGCAACACAGTAAAAGACCATATGACCTGTCTTTGAAATACTCATTTGTGCTTAATTGTTAACTGTTTACAACAATGTTACCACTGAATATATCATTGCTTAGTTAATCTTAAGTTATTAAGCCTGCCCATAATGCTCTGCATACAAGGGGCTTTGGCATGTTACACTTAACCACTGTATTTCCTTGTACTTCTATGTATCATGTTCAAATTAATAAATAAATAAATAAATAAATAAAACTTAAGTTCTCGTTTCCTGCCTCTCAAACAATCTGTCTACTTTATCAATTCTCGTGAGACAGCTGTCTCTCCTCATTCCCGACACCTGGTGGAGGAGCTTTGCGACGACAACAACAATGGCGACTGGTTTTCGAAGGAGAGTTAATACTGTTTGTATTGACCTCATAAAGGGCACAATCCCCAGTGCATCGATTAATGTGTTGGTGCCGATGATCATCCGTGATGTATATGGCATCCAGCGTGAATCCGTGTGTGGCATTGCCTTAAATGGACTATCCCGGATTTTTGTCAAGTTTTGTAATACCAAGACCTACGAGCAGATTGTCAACCAGTATCAGGATGTTAGCAAGCAAGTCACCCCAGCAGTCACAGTTAAGTTGCACGACGTTTCACAATACTATACGTGGGTACGTGTGCGAAACGTGCCTTTTGAGGCTAACGAAGTTGACATACGTGATGCCTTCAAATACTATGGGACGATCCACCAGGTTACTATGGGTCGGTGGTCTGATGGCCACTTTGCTGGTTTACAAGAAGGGTCTTTCACGTTGAAAATGTCCCTGCGCCAACCAATACCTTCGTACATAAACCTAGAGGAGTTCCGTACCCAGGTGTATGTTACGTATCCTGGACAGAGACGAACTTGTCGCCTTTGCGGCTTATTGGATCACATTGCTGCACAATGCGTTAAGCGCCAGCCGCCCTCAGGACGTGGTCGTCGTCCGGATGGTGAGGCTCCTCGTCGGATTCTGGCAGATGAAGTAGTCGAGGACTTACCGCACCTGAAATCGTGGAGTGATGAAGTGGATCGGGCCATGCTCGTAGAGTCATCCTGCGTGACTCTACCTGGTACGGTCAACCATGATGTGGTAGAACATGGTGGACGTGAGAGCCCTCAAGCAAGAGAGGATGCTGACATGGAAGCTAACATTGTATCGACATTGAGCGACCTTTTAGCTTCGCAGGAATATTATTCTGTGCCATGTGTGCCTGCGTTAGAGTGTTCAGATGAGGAGAGAACACAGTTAAAGGATGTCGATCAGTTAATTAACGTAAGTGAGGTAGAAGGTCCGAGAGTTCATACTGTTGCGGTAGAAGTTCACAAGGAGAACATTACAGGTCCTGATAAAGCTGAGGATGCTGTTTCTAGGAAGCGTGCGGCTACCCCACCCGACTCCGACGATGTCTTGACCCCTGGACAGCGTTCTGGGAAGAAGACGTGGTCGGAAGTCACGGGTGGAGGGTCGCGTGGTTTCAGGACAGCAAGTAATATAACAGAGAATGTACAAGGTAAAGGTGGCGCCTTAGGCGTTAGTCAACGTAAAGGGAAAAAGGGTGTGGTGGTCCCTCGAGGAAAGCCACCGTTAGCAAAGTTAGGTGTATAACCATAAATGTTAATGGTATGAAAAATAACAGAAAGCAAGTGCAGGTTCATGAGTGGTTGCATCGCTTTGCAGTAGACGTATGTTTCGTGCAAGAACATAACCATAAAGTTGGAAGTTCGTTTGCGATAGATGGTTATGATGTTTATATGGCTCACTTGAGTCGTTTGAAAGGTGGTGTGGCTGTGTTGATAAAAGCGACCAGCCCGTTCGTGATGAAACATTGGGAGGAAAGGGGGGGGGGGTCGCGTGGTATGCATCATAGGTGAGTGGGGTACTCAACGGGTTGGTTTTGTAGGAGTATATGGGCCAGCTGAACATGATGTTAATATTAAAAATACTTTTGTTAACGATGTTCTTGTGTACTATTTGAGATCCCTGCCTGATATAACAGTGGTTGGTGGCGACTGGAACTGTGTGGTGCACCGTAAAGGCGTAGAACCGAGGGGAGCGGGTTATTGTTCGATTATTTTGGGTGATTTGTTGTCTGGGCTGGGGTTGTTGGATGTAAGTGGAAGCAGTGACTTAGGGATTGAGCATACTTTCGTGCGTAAGGACTATGCTGCGCGCTTAGACAGGGTATATGTGTCTCGGCGGGTAGTTGTAACCATAGTGCGTGTGTTAGATGTGTATTTCTCTGACCATCGCGGTGTTCTCGTAGAGCTCGACTGGAGAGGTCTCCCGACTCGTTTTAAAGGATATTGGAAGTTAAATACTCGTTTACTTCAAAGTGCAGAAGATAAGACACTCTTCACGCACTTATGGACGTCTATGGGAGTAGACTCCTTGAAAGATAGTAATTTAGTGCGACAATGGGACGAGGTTATGAAGCCTCAAATTAAGGATTTTTATGTACATCGGGGTAAGGAGGCCTCTCGATTGGAGTATGGATTTTTGAGGTACCTGGAGGGTTCTTTACAGCACTGTTATGCGCAAGGAGAGGTATCTGGAATTTACCCAGTGGACGAGATTGACAATCTAAAGGAACACATCCAGGTGCTGAAAAATACGGTTTTTGATGGGGCGTGTATTTCGAGTGGAGCTGAGGAGGCTGTGTGGGGTGATAAGCCATCCGCTTGTGTCTTACGTAGTCAGACACAAAGGAGGAAGGTGACCGAAATCGTGAGTTTAGTGGTGCAGGATGGCATTGAAGGGTATAGTGAGGGTCAGGTTGTAACAACAACTGAAGGAATAAGTTATTATGTTGATAAATGGTTTAATCTCAAAATGCTAAATAAAGATGTAAGCGTGGATGCAATACGGGAATTGGGGCGGAATGTACGATGTGAGTTGAATGATAATGATCGCTTTCTCATGGGTGGGCCTATAACTGAAGCTGAGGTATGGGAGGCTTTGCAGGGAATGTGCAAGGGCAAGGCGCCAGGTATTGATGGCATTCCGTGTGAATTTTATATTCAACATTGGGAGGTCATAAGGACTTTTCTGGTATGTTTACTCAATGCGATGAAGGAGGGGGGACATTTAGGTTTGTCTCAGAGTACGGCGGTTTTGGTGTTAGTTAAAAAATGTGACATACCCGTATCACTTAAGGATTACCGACCAATATCACTAATGTGTAGTGATTATAAATTATATGCAAAAATTTTAATGAATAGGATTAAAAAAGTGTTTGACAAGGTAATACATAAGGGTCAGTTTGGCGTGCCAGGTAGGTCGATGTATGATGGTCATGGGAATATCAGGGAGTTTGTCGAGGAATGCGGAATGAGGGGCGGGGGTGGTGTTTTGGCTTTAGACTGGCAAGCTGCTTTTGATAGTGTAGAAAGGGATGTGCTGTGGAAGTTTATGAAATGGCAGGGTTTTGGTAATGAGATCATCATGTGGGCTCGTTCTTTGTATAATGGTGCTGGGTTTCAAGTACAAATTAATGGGAAGTTAGGAGACTTTGTCAAATTGAATAGAGGCATTCGACAGGGATGCCCTATGTCTCAAATGCTCTTTGCTTGCATGCAGGACCC